CTCTTTCAAATCAGCACCAGCAGCAAAGCTCGCTCTGCGCTCTGCGCAGCTTCGATCTCGTGCAGGCAATCCCTGTCTCACGAGGCGCTTTCTTCTCTCCGGCTGTCTGCACGGATTCGCCGTGCTAAGGAGAGCTCTGTGTGGTATCCTCCAGTAGCAGCAGCACATCGTGGCCATGAGCTGCAGTGTGAGTCAGAGCAGCCAGAGACTCGAAGAGTCAAGTCGAAGTAGCGCCAAAGTAAGTGAGTGTGTGGTGCCACTCATCGGCGGAGACACTGGCCGACGATGATTGAACTCACGCCACAAGTTAAGTCGTACTCTTCCAGCTAAGGGAGAGGGAGAAAGAGTAAAGCACTTGCCGACTCTTATCACTTCGTAGTTGCTGCCGCTGGCAATGTACCTCCAGCGCCAGCACTACTCGTACACCCATCACGAGAAGTTTGTACACCGAACGGTGTATATGCAGGAGTTTGTCCATTATTAGCCAACCACAACAACACCATTGGCGCACTTGACAATGGCAGACGTAGAACAAAAACAGAAATGGTAATTGAAATGCCGCTGCTCCTGTTTTTCAGACTTTGGTAACCTGATCGGCAATGCTGTAGCAGCCTTTCAGCAGACGACAGTAGGAGAGGGGCTCCTTCGGCCAGGGGTAGGGGCCGTTGTCTGCCTCGTAGAACATGGGCAGTCGCAGCACCCAGTAGCTAGACTGCGAAAGCTTGATCGGCTCAGTATTGCCCGGGAAGAAAAGCGGACTGGCATTAGGCGTCATCTGCACAAAGGGATTCAGAGTGACGTGAATGGGTGCTTTCGGGGTGACGATGTGAATGCGCATAAGCTGCGCTAAAGTGGGCGACTTGCCCGGACGGCTGCGGAGAAGAAGAAAAAGGAGAAGAGCGGCGCATTAAGTCAGACGTCAGGGGAATAAACCTTGCTTGTTTGCTTTTGCGAGCGAGTACTCACCTGCAGATGCAGTGCATGTACACCGGCATATCATTCGTCGTGGAAGCTGACGCTGTCTCTGAAAAAACGTTCGAGTTGGCCTTGAGCACCTGGTCAGGCCCGCAGGAGATGAAGCGGTGGCCTCGCAGGCACTCGTACTCCACGCCGATGAATATCTTCACGGTGAACTGAGTGCCCGACTTCAGCGCCTTCATGTGCTTCACCCCGGGCGGCTTCTTGCCGCGCTCCCACAGCGGCGGCATGTGTCGGCCGTGCTCCAGAATGACGGTCACATTCCAAGGGAGCAGGTAGTGCGAGCCGTGGATGAAGCCCTGCTGGTCGGTGATGCCCAGGTTGTGCGAGTAGATGCTGGAGGAGCCCAGACAGACCAGCGACCAGGAGGAGAAGCGAGCCGGCGTGTTCGGCGGGCAGAGCGTGTGAATCATCGGCGGCAGTGAGGAGACGTCCACGTTGGCGCGTGTCACCTTGCCCGTTTCCGGCGACGTGTTGTTCAGCTCAAGATCACTGACAAACTCTTCGCCGCTGGAGAAGTGCTTCTCCGCGTACTCCTCATTGTCGGAGGACTGCGTGAGAAAGAGCTCAGGCTTGCTCAGCGCCTCGGACTTGTCATTTCCTGACAGAGCGTCCTTCTCGCTGCCCTCATCACCGCCGGTCATCACCGAGTCACCCTGCTCTGACTTTCGCTGTGGGTGGTGGTCCGACTTTGTGCTGCAGGTGATCACGTAGTTTTCCTCATCTCCTTCCTCGGCATTCTCCGGCGGTGAATCGAGCAAGTCATCGTTATTGGACAAATTCTCGGGACTGGGCACTTCGGAGGCGTCCACCTCTTCGCAGTCGCCGCCAGGACGAACTTCGTCGTCCGGCAGCACGCCAAGTGCCCTCGTCGTTGTCGGACTGTCCCGATTTTCGCTCTTATTAGTCATGTTCTGACTTGAGCTGAGCGTCTCCACGTCAAAGTTGTCGTAAACAGGAAACTTGTACTGCGATACGTGGCGACAGGTGTGGCACTTGAACTTCATCTTCAGGTAGAAGTCATAGTTGGCCTCTTTCAAGGTAAATGGATCGATGCGGTTGCCCGAGCGACGACCACAGTTACAGGCAGAGACCAGTTTGGTCATGCTGGAGTGCAACATTATGGGCAGTGACTGAAATGAGCCGTCTGCATTAGGCGCAAACTCCTCATGGGGCAGTCGGTGCACCTTGTTCATGCAGTAGTTTCCGGTCAGGCTAAGCTCTTCACACATTTTGCGACCACTATTCCAGAACTTGTCGCACTCGGCTTGCACTGCCTGTATGTACTTGTAAATGGCCGGCCCCCGAGAGTTCATGGTAAAGTACTGCAGTGTGAGCATCAGCTTCCGTTCGTGTGTTTCACGTGTGTAGTGCGAAGGAAGGTTCTCCTGATAGTAGCTGACAGCATTGTGCACCATTTTAGAGCATCGTCCTTCAGAGAAGCGATTGTCAGTGTCCAGAGTTGAGTAGAGAGAGTCGAAAATTTTCATCAAGTTTCGCGACTTCTCGGCGCTGATGGAGGCATAGGTTTGCGAAAAGATAAGCTCTTTAAAAGAAATCAACACTTTGAAGAAGCTGAACGTGTTCACCAAATCATTTGAAGGCGGGGTTGGCTTTGTCGAGCTGTTCTCATCGGAGTTCTTTGAAAGTGTGGAGTTTATGTGAGGAAGTAGGAAGCTGAGGAAGAGCTGATTGCATTTGTTGAGAGAGTAGTACTTGTCAGCGTACTTGGAACGTCCTTCAGTTGCCTCGTTCGTGCAACGGTTGAAGATTCTCTCAAAAAAGAATGCATTGTAGTCACTAATGATAGGATTTTGAGTCGATATAAACACAAAAGGACTTGACGATGAGATTGAAAACAGGGAATTGGCACTCATTGCCGATAAGAGGCGACTTTTTCGTAGTACCCTTGTTATTTGATCTTCCAACTGCTGAACATAGAGCTGGTAATTTTCGTTATTTATGTATTCAAAGCCTTCATATGCCTCAAAAGTAAAGAGAAGTTGGGGGACACAAAATCTTCCTGATTTAATCCAAAATGTCGGTAAACCACCAACAGACTGGAGCATTTCCGAGACAAATGGCTGCAGTTTGACTCGAATTGAATCAATGATCCGAAAGAGGTTGATGCAGCTAATGTCAAAGCGAGGTGTCTGATTTGAGACCACGACCACATGACTGATGTGAAATAACAAAATGAGCGACTTGAGCAGATCATTCATCAAATCAGGCCACTGGTTGAGAAATCCCTATTTACAAAGTAGACTATTAGCTGAAAGGTGTCACTAAAAATAAAAATGTTACCTTTTCGAGAAACTGCTTCTGAATGTCATCGTACAAGTTGGTCAGAGACCACGAGTCAAAAGTTGACGTCAGATGGAGAAAAACAATTTGGTTGGCAGTGTCGTAGTAACCATCGATTTGGGCAAACTGCGTGTCAATGGAGGGTAAGTGTCAACAGTACTTGTTTACCCCAAATAAATACATACATTATCCTCAAAGAGTGTACTTCCCTCGCCCACCTGAGGAAGGAATGCATTCTGACCAATGAGGCTGCCAAGTAGACTGACCTTGGAGTTCATGCAGCTGAGCACTGACCGGCCGATGACGGAGACAACGCCGACCCTGTCAAATCCGTCACTTAGCATCTGCTCCTCAACGTATTTGAGCACATTCCTGCGTTGAAACAGCAAATCAACAAGTTAGTTTTCTAGCTTACTCAAACATAACCTAAATTCTTACTGTAAGCCGGAGTCTTTTGAAAAAAGAGAAAAATATTGAGGATTCGCTGCCTTTATCGAGTCCGGTACTGGACCGAACATGTCGACGATAGATCTCGACTTCATTAAGGCGGGGTGTCACTTTTCTTAATGAGAACGGTGTTAATTTCCTCGTTGGTAAACAACTCCAAAGCCGCTTGGAGCAAACAGCTACAAAGTAAACACTTGATTAGGCTTCAGCACGCGATCAGCTGACGAGGCCGACACAAACAAAGTGTGGCAAAAAAGACTGCTGGGCGAATTATCCTGCGTCAAAATAGCTATACCAGACTGGCATTTGCGTTATAGTCGAGTTCTGATCATAAAAAAGTTTAGTTCCTCGGCGCGGACTTTCTCTCCAAGGTTGCCCATTACCATGTGCAGGCAATTTCCTCAAGTCAATTACATAAGGGCAATCAATTACTTATTCATGCCAACAAAATGACATGCAGAGAATGACAAGGACGCTCTTCACTTGCACGCGCACTTTGAGGTCTTGCTGAGTGGTGAGAGCTGCTGCTGCTGCCAGAGCTGCCAAAGTGACAGCAGCAGTTGGCGCCAAATGCGTTTGCCCGGTCCATTAGCCGGCTATATAATGGCCTTTGTGTTCCAAGATTCATTTCCCGTTTCAAACATTGTTTGAAAATGAAGAAGAAGAGGAAGAAATATTGCAGGACATTCACCTTGAATAGTGCAGCACTCGGATGGCGCGCTTTTAGTGCAGCTTTTATAGCAAGCACAACAGGGACACCGCCTAGTCGCCATTCTGCCGTGGTCTTCTGCAGCTTTCAACTGACTGACATCGACAGGCATTTTATGATCTGCTGTACAGGTCGGTATATAGACAATTAAATGAGGCTTGAAGAGGGGCAACCAGAGAGGCGACCAGGAATCGACCATTCGCAGATTGGCGAGTGCTCTTTCTATTTATATAGGCGGATAGTTCTCGCTTTCTCTTGTCTATTTCCAGAGATCACTTCGTCTCCATGATGACGGCAGGGTGGCAAGCAGTTGGCACCGGTAAAAGTGCCTTCGACAGCGTGCACTGACCAGCTGCACTCATCGCTGCCTCGTGCTTTGACTTCCTTGCCCCGTTTTGGCGCCATTTACCGTTTGGCCGTCCATCAATCGAGTCAGTGCACCTGTCCACCTCACCGCTTCTCATCACACTTTTTGAGCCCTGCTTTTTGTGGTGATCTACGATCAACGATGAAGTACAACGATTCGAACCACCCTTCAGTGGCCTTCAGTGCAATGAACCAAATGCGACACAGCGGAACGCTTTGTGATGTGACGCTGCACGTGGCCGGCACTGATCTGCTGGCCCATCGTGTCGTTCTGGCAGCCACTTCCGCATATTTCAATGCCATGTTCAGCTGTGAGTGAGCTGTTCTACAATAAACCAAAAGAAACAACTTTTAACAATTCCTTTCTCCTTTTAGGTGAAATGCTGGAAAAGAGCCTCGATCGAGTGAGCATCAAGGAGGTGGAGCCGATGGCGCTGCAGCTGCTCATCGACTACGCCTACACCGGACAGATTGAGATCACCGACGAGAACGTGCAGTGCCTGCTGCCGGCGGCCAGTTTGCTGCAGATGGACGTGATCAGGGAGGCCTGCTGCAGCTTCCTCCTCCGCCAGCTGGACGCCTCCAACTGCCTCGGCATACGCCTCTTTGCGCACACCCACTCCTGCGAGGAGCTGCAGGTGACCTCTCACCAGTACGCACTGAACAACTTCATGAAGGTTTCCCAGGAGGAAGAGTTCCTCCTCCTCTCCTTTGAGGAGATCAGCAGTCTGGTGTCGAGCAGTCAGCTGAATGTGACCGACGAGGAGACGGTCTACGGGGCGGTGATGCGCTGGTTGAAGCACAATCTGAACGAGCGAGAGAAGCACTTTGCCAGTCTGCTCAGCTACGTCCGCCTGCCGCTGCTCTCGCGCGAGTACCTCCTCAGTCAGGTGATGGGCGAGAGTCTGATCAGGACGAACTCGGAGGCGAAGGATCTGCTGATTGAGGCGATGCGCTACCACCTCTGTCCGGCGGAGAGGGCGGCGGTGGAGCACAACGCTCACAACGCCCGCACCACCACTCGCCGCCCTGAAGGCCTGCAGCCGGTGATCTTTGCCATCGGAGGCGGTTCACTCTTCTCGACAATCAACAGTGAGTTCGAGTACTACTGCCCGGTCAGTGACCGCTGGACCTACGTGCAGAGCAGTCAACGGCGCTCCCGTGCCGGACTGACGACGCTCAACAACAGGCAGAAGATTGTCGTCATCGGTGGCTACAATGGCTCGAAGGAGCTCAACTCGGTGGAGACCTACTCGCCGCTGAGCAATGTCTGGGAAACGGGGGCCAGTATGGGCAGTCCGCGCAGCTGCTTTGGTGTGTGCAGTCTCAATGGGAACCAAGTGGTGGTCGCCGGTGGATTCGATGGTAATGAGGATTAAAAATTTTGGTTTTGGAACTGACACTAAAACTGTAACTCATGCAAACAGGAAACGCCGTTCTGAACAGCTCGGAAATGTTTGACGCCTACGCTAACGTCTGGTACTCCTATCCAAATCTGGAGATCAGAAGAAAGTACTGTCGTCTGGTGGAGCTGAATCAGTCCATCTATGCGGTGGGCGGCTTTGACGGCGTCAACTACCACTCATCAGTGTCCCGATTTGATCCAAGGGTGACTCAATGTGTGTTTGAGCTAGAAAACACTATCTGACCACTCTATTCAATTCAATTCAGGAGGGAAAGTGGGTTCGTGTGGCACCGATGATCACGCCTCGAAGCAGCTGTGGGGCGACTGTGCTGGCTGGCAAGGTGTACGTCAGCGGCGGCAACGATGGCAACTCCTGTCCTCTGAGCAGTGTCGAGCGGTACGACCCGACCATGAATGCCTGGGAGAGTGTCGCCTCAATGCAGACCAGACGGTAAGTGTGTGGGTGCACTTCCTCGCTTACTACCACTCATACACACTACCCAACTCACACACACAGGAGCACGCACGACCTGGTTGAGGTCAACGACGCTCTGTACGCCATTGGCGGCAATGACGGCAGCAGCAGTCTCAATTCAATGGAGAAGTACTGCCCGGTGGTGGCGCAGAACTCCGCCAAGTGGACTCCAGTGAAGGCAATGAACCTGAGGAGAAGCAACCTAGGGGCGGTGGTTCTCTACTGCCAGGACCTGGGCTCCTCCTTTGGTCGTCAGGAGGAGACGATGCTTTCCTCGGCTGCCTCCCATTCCACAGTGACCGACACTGAAGTGGCCATGGACAGAAAGTCCAATGAAGACATCAGTCTTCTGCTGCCGCCCGTCTAGCCGGGGTCCTGCCAATCTTCTTCTAGCACACCGCGTTCAAGTAACTAGTGATAACAATTGCTTTATTTTTAGTAGGCTTTCTTCCTCTGAGTAGGTATTTTGACAATAAACTCTCTCAAAAGTACGGAGATTAGCTAATGTGTAATAAGTAATACGACTACAAAAATAATTGGACTCGATGTGATTCATCCATTACATTGGTTTAATGTAAGCGGCGGCGGCAATGCGGTGCCCCCTATTTCTTGCCCTGAATTTGCGATGACTTAATGTCAAAGTCCTTCTCGGAGATGTTCAGCAACAGCGACTGGGCATCCAAGTAGACGCGGTTCTGGGCTTGAGACATCTAAAGTCAAAGAAAACAAGTTTATTAGAAAAAGAAAAAAGGTAACATTAGCATTAGGCTTACCGTCTTTGCAATTTGCTGGGCAGCGCGAATCTTCCTCAACTTGAGATAACCGGGATTCTTGGAGATAGCGTCACCTAAGTATAGCGGAAAAGTTAAGGAAATAAGGATGCGAAAGGTTTGAGATAATTGATTTCAACAACAAAGATGGCCATCAGATTACTAAAGAGCAAATATCACTTTTGAAAGTATAAAGAATCGGCTAGAGCAAAGCCAACTCTCTATAGGAAACTTGAGGCAGAATGTTAGTCGCGCGAGCAGCACTACGAATGGGAAAGACTTTCGCTAAGTAATGTCGCCCACATGACTGATTTGTCCTTTGGTCTGTCCTTTACAGAACTGATAAATGAGAGCTCGTTATTCAGTACCAAGATACCAGACCCAAATCAGAAAGATCAACCTAGCCTAGCGAAGCAGCGCTTTTGGTTAGACTAAGTAATATGCCATAGAGTTCATCAGTTGGCCGCAAAGTTAAGCATCGCAATTGGGTAAAAGGCATCGTTTGTGAAAAGGATATCATTCGAGCAGCTTCGGCTTCTCCCTCAGCTTGAACAATCTTCTGCTGACGCTCCTGCTTGGCCTGCTCCACGGTGAAAGCAGCACGTTGAGCCTCCTGTTGGGCCACTTGTTTGGATTCGACGGCAGCGGCGTACTCCTTGCTGAAGCTCAATTCAGTGAGCGAAACGTCATCGAGAATGAGATGAAAGTCCTTGGCTCGCTCGATAAGCTGCTTGCGAACCAGCAGCGAAACTTGTTGACGCTGAGTGATCAACTGAGAAGCATTGAACTTGGCGACAACACTTTTAAGCACCTAAAGGTAAAACGGTGTTAGCATTAGTTCCTGTAGTAAACGAAAAAGTTTATGGGAACAAACCTCATTGCAAATGGAAGGCAAGACACGCTCGTCGTAGTCAGTTCCTAAGACACGGTAAATTTGAGGCAGTTTGGAAGCATCGGGACGAGCCAGAACGCGAAGGGTAATGTTGACCATCTGCAAATCTTTGCTACCAGTTGGAGAGGAAATCTTTCGCGGACGCGATCGAATGTCATAGATAATGGGCCACTGGAACCAGGGAAGTCTGGGGGTACAGGTGTAAAGTGACATTAGGACACGATCTACGTCGGTGGCATGACGCAACTTACCGAAAGTGCAAGCCTTCAGCGTACACATTCTTCTGGATGCCACCGATTCGGCTGAAGATGATTGCACGGTGACCACCCTCCACTATGGCCAAAAAGACGAGGATTGTTTAAGGTCAGATGGGCACGTTTATAGCAAATCAAAATAAAATAGATGTACCTGTGTAGACGGACTGCGTTGCGGCGTACCCGAGACCGCCGGCAGCGACGAGCAGTTTGATGCCCAGGCCTAGGCCGTTGGGGGCCTTGCCGAAGCGTCCCATCATGTCGCCCAGTTTGTCGGCCATTGCAGGAGTGGATGGAGAAGGGGTGGAAAGCGGGAGAGATGGGCAAGATGAAGCCTAGAAGACCTGTGCAGAAGGCAAAAATGTTGACTTCGGCTTTTTGGCCGAAAAAAGCATGTGAATTGCCCCTTCACTGACAACGTAATTAGCTGACTTACAATTTTCACCCGATTTTTTGCTTTCTACAAGCCTTCCGTTTAATGATCTAAAAAGTTGAGTTTACTTTTAAATCTGATAAATTAAAGGGCTTTTAAAGAGTTGTGAATTTGGAACCAAAGAAAAAATTAGGTTGCTCGTGTTTTCTTGTTGGATCGATAGCTAGCGCGGCGCCCTCTAGCAGAAGAGTTGGTGCGCGATTAAAACATGTGACTAACTTTTTTGCACATTTCACATTTGAATCATAACAAACGAATGTGAAATGATGTTGGGAGCTTTCAAAAGACCCGTTTTGAGACTGTTTGGTGAGGCCACTCAGATCCGGCTGTATCAAGTGTCGTCAACTCGGTTCAACGAAGTAGCCAACACAAAAGTGGAAAATGATGTCGCGCCCATTGTGGAAGAAAATTCACATCCCGTTGCTAAACGACTGATGGACTTTTTCGATGCACCCGAAAATTGGAGCAAGGATGCCGTAAAGTCTGGTATGTTGTTACTGTCTTTTTGCATAATGACTGATGTGTAACTGTCCTTTCTAGGTCGAAGCTGGAGAATTGATGAGCTTCGAATCAAGAGCAACAAGGACCTGCACTGCCTGTGGTATGTCCTCTACAAGGAGCGCAACATGCTGAAGACAATGGAAGAGGCGTCTAAAGAGGCGACGCAAAATATGCCTAGTCCGGAGCGAATTGACAAGGTGGAAGAGAGCATGAAGTACATTGAGGAAGTAATCCAAGAGAGAAATCGCGCCTACTGGGACCTGGAAGTCGGCGACAGTCAGTTTGTCAGCCGAAGGAAGGCCTTCCGTCGAGACATTTTCGGACGTTGGCGCTGGTAAGTTTGCCTGGTTTGGTACAATACAAAATGGGTTAACAACTTATTTTCCCATCCACAGGATTGCTTGCTCTGAGCACCTGATTCCCTACTGGATGAACACTGAATGGCGTAAAATGAACGCCCCTGGATTCGGCAAAGATGTCGAAGAGTTTAACAAAAAGTTACGCGAGAAGCAGCTAAACAAGACTGTTTCGTTGACTTTCAGAAAGGAATTCCACGTTCGTCAACTGCTCAAGCGTTTTGAAAACATTGATATGGAGTACCTGCAGGAGCTGTATCCTGAGGTGAACGTCCAGTCAATCAAGGAGAACCTCAATGAGATCACCAAGGAAAGCCGACAGCAGCGATTTGATGCAATATTCTACCAGAAGCGGAAGTTGCTGTAAATTGTCACACAGTTTATTATTATGAGTAGAGAGATTAATTAAATGTAATGACTAAACAAACAAAAGTAGATTATACAGTTGAAGTGTAAGATAAGAGAAGAAAAAACAGTAGTTAATTAATATGATTTGGATCACTAAGTTTAGATTACCAAATAGCACACACACTAAGGGTTAGGCGATAGAATGAAAGTGAAAGTCAATACTCGGTTATTTTTGGTTTACTACAGCTTCTCTAGAAGCCAAGCGCCACACTGGCTGTTCAATTTCAGGATATTTTTCGTGTGCTTGATGACCGTCTCAATGGGCACCTTCTGCGAGCCAGAGCTCGCCTTGACAATGGCATTGTTCAGCTGCTGGCAGACCTGCTCGCGATCCAGCAGGTTCTCACCATCCTCAATCTTATAATCGGTTGGATTCTGGAATGCAATTATGTGAAATGCCTGCTCGAGCATCTTCTTGTTCGTCTCATTGTGGCCATAGGTGGCAAAGAGTTGCTTTGAAAGGGCATTCAGCTCTCGGCCGAATTTGATGATCTTTTCCAGTTCATTGTAGCCATTGGTGGCGTGACTTTCAATGAGGGGATCTTGCACGGAGTGTTCAGTATCCTCGGGACTTATGTCCACTTCCATTGGGTTATCTAGGTTGCCATTGTGGTCGTTGAATTGGCAATTGCCATTGAAAGCGTGGTAAGGTGCACGATCGTATCCACAGACGTACTCGATAAACTGTCTGCATTTCAGAGTGAAATAGAGGTTTGGATTTTCCTGCAGTACTTCAGGGTACAGTGTGTTGGTAAGATGAACTGCTTCTCCGATTCGGCCACTGAGCACACTCTGCTGAATTTTCAGGCGTTGCTTAATATTTTGAACATTCTCCTTAAACGGAAGCTGTGTGGCCTCAGAGAAAACCTGCGCCGTGGTGCAGTAGCCATTGTGAATGAGCCACGACTGAACGAGATAGTGCAGCATGGGCTGCCAGTCAGCGTGGTTCACTGGAAAGTTGCCAATTGATTCGGTGATTCGCTTTCGCAGAGCAATCACATCCTGTTCGATGTCATAGACAAACTGATCCAAGCCGAAATTGGCCTCCAGCTCTTCACCGGGCGTCTGCAGGCCGACGGTGGGAAAGAGCGGGACGCTTGCAAGATCAGTGAAAGCGATGCCGAGATTAATGCCGTTTTTAGTGTAGAAGCACTTGTTTTCAATCAAGTTGAAACCACAGCCAATAATGTCGCCAGTAGTGAAGGTGGGCCCGTAAGCTTGCCCAGTGCCCGAGCTATTGAAGGAGTGGCCATCGTCCCCGTGGTAGCCGTACGACTGCTTGTCCCAACCAGGCAGACGATGCATGTCGACGTTCTGGGCGGCAAGGCCTATGCCCATGTATCCATCGCGACCTTTGCTCACGATTCGCACTTCGTAGTAGTAGAGCAGGCAGCTCGAGGGAATCGGGTGCGTCGCTCGCACAGCTGCCGCATCCTTGTGCGTCTTTCCAACTCCCTTGTAGTGCACTTTCAGGCCGTCTTCCGAGAGAATGATAAAGTTTGCCTTATCCTTAGAAGACCAGTTTTTGGGAAGCAAATCAACATCCGTGTAAGGATACAGACGTTTCAGACGTTCAATGCCTTCGGCTTGGCGAAGCGAGGGTGATGCAGGGGAAACCGGAGAGCTGCANTTGGGAAGCAAATCAACATCCGTGTAAGGATACAGACGTTTCAGACGTTCGATGCCTTCGGCTTGGCGAAGCGAGGGTGATGCAGGGGAAACCGGAGAGCTGCATCGACTCGTCTCCATCTCAACAACAGGAGAAATTGGACGAGACATCCTATGGAAAAAATACAAGTAATTATTTTTTTCATTATGACAAGTGTAATATAAAACTTACGCTTTGGCTGATGTCACCTATTGAATGAAGAATGAAGGCGGTGAAAAGCTGAAACGTTTGACTGGAAGTGCTCGATTCCTTAGAGCACTCTTTGAGTTCACTACCTCAGGTGCTGGCTGGCACAGGCAGAATGCTTCGACGCAAAGCAAATAGAAACTCAGAGTGAGTCTTTGTTGTGATTGCGAGAAGGAGCACAAAACTGCAGTGGCGCTGCTGTCCGCTGCAGTAGCATCGGCTCCATCCCTGAGACGTCATTTGTGATAGTGGACTTTTACCTTTTTCAAATATATTCTCGAAAAAGAAGGCATGCTCATTTATTCAAAATAAAACAAGAGGGATTTTTGTAGGAGAATAATGAAAAGACAAAGATAGCTAATGCTTCCGCCGCTTGATGGACTTCTTTTTGTTCTTTGGCGTCTTTGGCTTTCTCCTCTTTTGCGTAACAAAATCATTTGGATTGCTGATATCAAGCGCGGAGATGTCCTCGAATCGGGTAACATCATCGGCGATAGAGTTGATGGTGGCCATCTTTCGCGCGGCAGCCTTCTGCTTCTTAGTGAGGTTAATACGAATGAAGTTGTCCTCCTCAAAACGCTTCTTCTCTTTGAGAAACTTGCCAATGCCGCTCTTTTGGTGCAGCATGGAGCCGTATTCCTCTTCGGGAGCATCGTCAAATTCGCGTCGAAGCTCTTTGATGATGGAGCTGTTCATTGCCCGCTTCTTTGCGTGCTCCAGCGCTTTAGTTTTTCGGTCATGTTCATCTTCAAATTTCATCTGCGCCAATCTCGGTGGCACATAGACACCACCATTTGAAGACTTTTTTGCATCTGTCATCGCGAGGTTTTTTACATCTGAAGACTCGTCTTCGTCAACATCATCCAAGTTCATAGCACCACCATCCTCTCCATCTTCTCCCTCAGCAATACTGGAAAAGTTGGGCTTTAAATTCATTGGATCATTCTGGTCGATGGCTCCAGTGTTGAGCACTTTCATCAATTTGTCCACCTGGTACTTCAGTTTGTGTTCGATCGGGCGGATCTTCTCCAAGACAGTTCGCTCCTCCACCAGCCTCTCAAGGGTGCCAGTTCTTTCGGCAATACTCTCACCACGAAGTTTAGTGAAGAGCACATCAGTTAGGTCCACCAGATAGCTGAGGAACATTTTGTTTTTCATATCAAATAATGAAATGCCATTTTCAGTGGGCAACTCGTTGTTTTTCATCTTCTCCAGCAGCGCCTTCACCGAGTAGATGCACGGAGAGAGGTTCGATTTAAACTCCTTCAGCAGTTCTGTCGTCTGGTTGACCATCAGATCGACGTTATCGGCCATGGTTGGGGTGAAGTTGTTTCGAGGATCGGCGATTATGTTGTCACTTTTTGCAGGCAAGCACGTGCTTCGCAAACGCTTTCGCTTTACGTACTTTGTGGACTCAGGAGTACAATTTTTTTTCTGTTGTCATCGCAAAATCAAGTGCCAGTTTGGAGTGTGTGATTCACGTTATCTTACTGTATCGCCTTGACCACAATTCTCAGTCAGTATTCACCTCTCTGGAACTAGGAAGATGTCTTCAAGTGCGGTGCAAGCGAAAAACAGTAAGCAGAACAAGCACAAATGGTCGCTGAATTTTGCCACAAAGTAAGTACTCGCCGGTTTTCCTGGTACAGATGCCCTAAGTTTTCCTTGTCCTTCAACAGAAGCAGATCAGACCGTTCAGAGTTAGCCTCGCCACCGGGCTTCAATCCCAACATTGGACACGGTCACAGTGAAATCAGTCAGGAAGTGGACAGCAATTTGATTGTTAAAAAGTCATGGGACATCGCACTGGCCCCACTGAAGCAGATTCCAATGAATCTTTTCATCATGTACATGGCCGGCAATTCCATCTCTATTTTCCCCATTATGATGGTTGGAATGCTTTTCCTAGGACCTATCAAAGCGATCTTCAACTTTAACAATAGTAATATTACAAATAATATCTTTGAAACCTTTGTGATTAATGAACTTCTTTTTATCCGTAGCTTTTAAGCTAATTGAAGGAAACCAAGCCATAATGCAAAAGTTCATCTACTTATTGGGCAATCTCGGGTGCATTGCACTGGCCCTCTACAAGTGCAAATCAATGGGCCTGCTGCCGACTCACGCCTCAGATTGGCTTGACTTTGTCGAGTCTCCCCAAAGGATTGAGTACTCTGGCGGTGGTCTGGCGTACTGAGCAACAGCAGCAGCAGACGCATCTGACTCTGCGTTGTGATGGTCCAATTAACTTGCTAGAAACTCTTCTATAACTGTTAGATTTTTAGGGAAAAATGCAATTGCTGAATAACGTATTCTAATTACACAAGTTCTAAATTTTGCACTGTGCATGGAAGTATTGCATCTGTATAAAGACATTAAACCGCCTTATTTTCAAGGAATTTGCTGTTATTGATTGAGCAGTTTTTATTACTTGCAAGCTTAAACTCTTTCTCTTTTGCTCGGTTATACTCGTGAACTCGTCCCAGCAGCAAGTATGGTGAAGCAGAACGGAAAGTCGAGCAGCTCGAAAAAGGCTGGAGGCGGCGGTGGTGGCAACAGCAGTGCCGGCATGTCGATGCTCAATGCGAAGGGACCGTCGAAGAGCAATCCGTGGAGTGAGGACCAAATTCTGGCCGGCATGGACGCAAATCTGCAGCACAGCTCTGCGCAGGCAGTGCAGAGTCTGCCGGGCGTGCTCGCCGACGATGAGATCCTTGCGGCGATTCTCAAGCCTCACCTGAACGGCCCCATCCAGCTGGGTCAGCTGGAGAATGTGACTCCGCTGAAGGTGTCCTACGGGGGCACCTCCACCGAGCAGCCGTCCGGCGGGGGCGGCAACCTGGTCAAGCAGAAGGTGCACAAGAATCAACAGGTCGAGTACGACCGCTCCAAGGGCTTCGTCTCCACCAGCTGGGCCAACTTTCTGATGGACCCGGACAAGGCGAAGGAGTCGCCGCTGACTACCCAAAAGGAGGGCCTCTTCATTCGCCACGTCACCTCTACGGTGCTCAATCCCAGTGGCAAGGCTGGCAAAGGTGGTGGTGGTGGTGGTGCTCCGCCCTCTGTCAACATCGACAGTGTCTCCTACACGAGCGGCAGTCTGATGAGCAACACCTGGACCAATGTGCTTATGTACACCCCCAAGGAGCAGGTCTTCAAGATGGACGCGGCCACGGGCAAGTACAAGCCAGCAGAGGGTGGCAGCACCCAGAAGAAGAAGCCCGCCTCGGCTCGCCCCGCAGCTGCTGCCAGCTCCACCTCGGCCAGTTCCACCTCAGCCAGCTCCACCTCCACCTCAACTTCGATGAAGAATGAGCCCTCGAAGAGCATGAAGGTAGGCAGCTCTGCTCGTCCAAGCTCGGCTCGTTCGGCGAAGAAGGAGCCATCGACGAGCGTCACATCGGGCTTTTCTCGCTCCACCTCTGCCGCCTCTATCAAGAAGCAGCCTTCCAAGAGCGTCAAGCTGGGCAGCTCTGCTCGCCCATCCTCGGCTCGTTCGGTGAAGAAGGAGCCCTCGAAGAGCGTCAAGGTGGCCCCTTCTGCTTCTTCCGCTAGCACTTCTGCTGGGAAGAAGGAGAACTCAAAGAGCGTCAAGGTGGGCGCTTCTGCCTCTTCGGCTAGCACTTCTGCCGGAAAGAAGGAGCCCTCAAAGAGCGTCAAAGTTGGCCCTGCTGCCTCTTCTGCTAGCACTTCGGCTGGGAAAAAGGAGAACTCGAAGAGCGTCAAAAAAGGCGCCAAGCCCAAAAGTGTGGCCAAGAAGAAGAAGTAGTTGGGTGGCTGGAGCAGGCCAAATCGCCTCTACAAGTCAGCCGAAGCTCTTCTGGCTTTACTTTGCTTCCAGCATTATTTTTGCACCAAACACTGCCAGAAGCTGCAGTCTTTGTAAAAATTGATTTGTTTTATTAAAAATAACATTTGTTTGTTAAAACATTGAATTTGACACACTGGCAAACTCGGCGTTAAGGAACATCACAGAAGGGTGGAGGAGTAGGGTGGTGAGTAAGAAATGAAGGTGGAGTTCTAGTTGCTGGTGGAGGCAACGTGAATGACGTAGTAGTCGTGGTAGTACATGAGAATGCACAGTGGCTGACCTAGGATGAGGGATATCCATACCGCAACGTTGCCCGACTGTCCCTTGAGGTACCTGTTGACGAAGACGGAGAGCGGCAGCTGAGCAATCATCCCGCCGAAGGCCCACAGACGAAACATGTTCAGCGGCACCGAGACGAGGTACTCGTGGTAGAAGGCAGACAGGAGAAAGACCACCGTCGACGCCCAAAAGCGATTAAACTTGACCCGGTCCTGGTTCAGTAGCGGCAGGTAGACGTGTCTGACCAGGTGTGCGTGCACGGGAATGTTCCACGTCGACCAGAAGGTGCTCACCGACTCGGAGTTCCACCAGTCCTTGTAGAACTGGCGGTCACTGAAACGCAGCAGCTCGGCAAGCAGGTTGAGAAAGGCGTGAAAGAACCAGTAGAAGAAGATGAGCCAGATGAGGTGATTGGGCACGGCCAGCTTCAGCAGGCGTTCCAGCATTCGCCCCAGGGACATCTCCTTGAAAGGCTCCAGCGAGTTGCGAATGGTGGGCACCATCCACTGCTGAATCAGGCCAATGTCCAGTTGAAAGAGAAAAACCTGAAACACACAAAATGTTAGGGTGAGGAAACAGAAAAGCTAAAAGGCACATTACAATTTCAAAGAGTCGCTTCATGATAAAACGCTTTCGAATTCGATCAGTTCGAGGAAAGTTGAGCTCATAGCAGAGCGTGGGCGCGGCAATGAAGTAGGCAAGATCAGGAATGGTCAGGTTGTTTGGGTACTCCACCAGTGGGGCTGGCTGGTGGCGGCTGGCATCGCCATTGCCGTGACCATTACTATTGGAGGTGCCATTGTGCGCATTGTGGTGGTGGTGGCCGCCATTGGTGATCATGGAGTTGCGTCGGGTGCGACTGTACTGCTGCTTTCTGCACCAGTAGTTGACCATGTGGTAGGAGGTCAGCTTGAGGGACATGATCGAGTAAACCAGACAGCAGACAGAGGCGCCCACAGGATTGCACTGACCAGAGCGAAAGACGAGCGGCGGGAGGGAGAGCAGTGTGAGGATGATGCCAGCGGCCGTCGCAGCGCCCGCTCTGTCGCTGATCTTCCGCGGCACGAGCAGAGATCGCTCGAGGAAGAGGGACGAGAGAATGAAGAAGTTGAGTGCGAGCAGCAGCTTGAAGAAGGGGATGATGTTGGGTAGGTTGCAGAGGAGAAAGACCCACTGCAGCGGCTCCACCAGAATGCCGTACTTGATGATGTTCTCCAGAGCCACACGGGCGTTCGAAAGTACCTGAAGAGTGATTGAAATAAAAAAACTTTACTTCCGAAAGAAAAGGGTAATATGACTTACGAGAATGATGAAGCAGAGGTTGAGCAGGCCTCGGTAGTTGGTGTAGCCACTGCCTGAACTCAGCAAGGATTCTTTCGGTTTGTGAACGCTGAATGGGGAAAACACACATTACACAATTGAAGTAGCAATTTTGTAGATAAAGTATATTACGGTCGATCAGGCTGAAGTTTGCGGCGCTTCTGCTCCAGGTCCATGATCTCAGTGGCGCGAGTGACACTACTCGTCCGACGGTGGACTGTCTCCGTTTCGCCTGTCATCTTCAGCGGTGGGAGTCAGATGGAAGATCAAAGCAATGGTAAAAGCGGCAGAGAAAGAAAGGAAGGAACCGATACTGGACGATTAGTGGTGGTCTTTTGTAGAGAAGACCAGGCCCTGTCAGCAGAGATGCACAAACACACCAGTCACACGACAGTCAGGGCCAACAAGAGATTAGATGAGAGATTGGTGGGGCAGGGGTGCTGGTGCCACAGCCAGTGTCAAACAAAGTCGGCGCGAACAATTCAAATGTGGGCACTGTGTGGTGACTGGCGTCGATCGAAGCTTTGCAGCAGCAGCAATCTATCTCTCTCCTGCGTGCACTCGTCGCCGCCGTCGATGTCTTCTGAAGCTGATGTACTCATCGAGGTGTCTGCTGCTGTTGTTGCCTCACTCTGCATTTGTACCTCACCATCATCAGCAGTGAGTGTGTTGGTGGTGGTGTGGACAGTGGTCGACAATGGCAATAGCTCTAATCACATCTCCGATTAGCGCTATTCGTACTCGAAGCCAGAGAAGGGGGCACGTCTGCACGCCACTATTCACTGCTCTCTGGCCTTGAGTCGTCGTTTTCTCCACTCATTTGCCTGTTTGCCTGGTGCTGCTGAAGAGATGGCGGCAAATTGTTAAACACATTAGAGCACCTTCTTCATCGACATGGACGATTGCAGTCATTGACGGCTTCTTTTTCTTTTCTTTTTTCTCTTCTCCCCCACCTAATTATTTATCACTTGGTAATCTAAGAGTAGCACGGTAGCACACGAGAGCTTGTTGACAGTGTGTGTGTCGGTTTGGCAGCAGCATGGGCAACGGTGCACACACGGAGAACTTGGCAACGAAGAGGACCTCTGCAATGCTGCCGATCGATTACCTGTGGAAGTGGGAGCCAGAGAGTTGAAGAGTGATCAAGAGCACCCACACCACACCACAGCACAGCACCCACACTGAGGTGACCGAAGAAAACGCGTTTAGTACGAGTATGTGCACGGCCTTTGTTTACTACTTTTTGTACTGGAGAAAATCATTATAAGGTACAATTGCAATTTTTTAAACTAATTATCTAGCACAAAAGAGTAAGAAACTTCCTAGCTAAAACATACAAAAATGATCTTTGAATTAAAAAATATAGTCCGTTTCTTTGAGATGGCATGCAGGGAAAGTGTCAGGAGGAAAGTGCAGTCAGGGCAGAAGTATCTTAACTCTTGAGGATGCGCTTCATCTGGCGATTTTGGTTTGTAATGGTGTCGCCTGCCCGCTCTGACTTGGTCGCCAGATTATCAAGTAGTTGATTCTGACTATCGATCTCGTTGCCCAGACCCATTGCGAGCTCCTTCAACCGAGAAATGCCCATGCCCACGTCTTCCAAGTTTTGATCCAGCTCTTGGTCGACCTTGCGAGAGTGCAAATCGTAAGCAGAAGTTGAGCTCGGGACTTTGGAACTAGGAGCAGCATCATTTTCCTCTTCAAACGGATTCAGTCCTCGGTTTTTAAGCGCCGGATGATTCAGCTGATGTGAGGCGTTATCAGTGACCGTCTTGATCGATTCGACCGTGTTATGCAACTTGCTCTCACTAGTGGAAGCAGTCATTCGCTTTCCATTGGCAGGGCTAGAGTCGGCGTTTTTGGAGAAATAGTTTTTGAAGCCACCAAATATGCTCTTCATCGAAGTAATGTGCTTCTGGCTTACACGCATTATCGAGTTGATCGAGTCCAGCTTTTCATCGACATTTTGCAGCTGTTCTCTCTGATGCAGTAACTCCTCCGCAGTTTGTAGACCTACTTTCTCTGTCTCATAAAGAAGGCCTAGCGTTCTTTTTGACGATTGAAGTGTCGCCTCTTCAATTTTACGTCTATCTTCAAGCAGCTGTCTGCGTTTATCCTCCCAGGCACTGTCGTTGTTCAGCACATATCCGGACTGGCCGTGACGAGGATGATTTAGGAATGTACTGTCGTCTACATCTTCAATCTCGTTGAAAGGATTACCTTTTCCGCTTTCAATGTAGGACATCTTATTATGCGGCTGTAAATGGACCGGTATAATTCTTTAAAAAAGGTTTTAAAATTAAAAATAAACGGCTAAACAAAGACAATTGTTGTGACTTGTTGAGAGAACTAAACACAACACACAAACACAAGTGAACACAGGAATGCTGGCGATACTTCGGTTAGGACAACTGCTGGTAATGTAGACTGCTTAATACATCTGACTTGATGATCCTCCTAATGGCGGAATTATTGAGATGCCTTGATGAGCAACAATTTCAGTAAAAATCACACAGCAGTAAACAAGTCGCAGCAGTCGACGGGTGCAGCAGCAGCAGCAGCAGCTGTTTTCGCTGCTGCAGTTGGCCTCAGCTGACTCATCTGCTTACATCATCACAAGGGGGGGGGGCGAAAGGGGAAATTGCAATGCCCATTCACAGAGGACGAACGGGGGAGCATTTTGATTTGGCCAGCAGTCGCGACGTCTTCGCTTCGTCATTCGTCTTTCAACGCTGGTCACTGTCAGTTCTAAATGGTTCAGGGAAGCAGCTTCATCACCTCGCCATCAATGCTTTGATTTGAACCCTTTCTAAATACTCCGAGTTGATGATCACGCATCAAGTGGGAACGCATCTTTCCATTTTCGTAGACTTAGTTCTATTTATAGCCATCATTCTCCTCTTTGATTCTTCTCGCCTGGGCGATCTCTCTTTTCACTGACACAGATTCTGTTTTCGACTTGGCAACAGCAGTTTGTTGCTGCTGAAGCATTGGTAAGTTTTCTATTTGCCTTTTTCCGGGATTACTGTTATTCAGTTGCAAGTTTTAAATCCTTTAACTTCTTTTTTCAAGTTCTTGTGACCGGCGTTTTCAACAAGTGTTCACTTTGACAAGCTGAAAACAAAAATGGTCGAAGAAGAAGGTCTCATTTTTCGCCGTCACAAAGAGTGGCTTGAAGGTCTTGGCGTGAACTTTCCAAGTAACAAATGTGCTCCAAGCAGTTTGCTGGTCAACGATGATAAACTAGGTAAGTTTCTTGAATAAAATCTTCAATTCTGGTGAATGACTTTTGCGTGTTGTTGTTTTTTATCTTTTGGCGATGTGAAGCTGATGTTCTAATTTCAAAATATGACTACCTCGATTCCTGCATTTCAAATGACAACTTTGACAACTCTCTCAATAGCAACCTAGTTCTTATACTCAAGTTTTTTCTTGAAAATGGTCCATATTTAGATAGTGATATTAATTTCAGAGAACAGATTGATATGTTTTTCACTCTTTTCCGCAACTTGCTACGAAACCATCTAAAAGATTTGCCAGATTCCATCAATCTGCTAATTCTCAGGTTAATCGAAATTCGCGCATGTAGATGGAACATTAAACCAAACATTGAAGAATATTATATGAAAAAAGTTGATAAACCTTCTCAACGTCAAAATGTTCCACCAAATGCAAATTCAATGCAGTACTGTTTCAGTGTAGATCAACCCGGCCCGAGTAATGTAAACTGTTACATGCCAAGTGGCCTTAGAGCTTCAAAATCTTATGGTGACATTACAACAAACTATAAAAATGATGACGCAATGTTTGGGCGTCACAAACAGCTAAAGTCAAATGCAAAAGCAATTATGAAGGGTGAAATAGTGATTAAAAACTCTGATTCTGGCAAAGGTAAAGTGCTCTATTGTACGATTTCGGAAATTCGTTTGACTTTTTATTTACTCTCAAAAGTGATGGGGATCAACGGACGTCGACTGCATAAGATTGAAGCTCTGAGCGACACTATAATATCGTTTCAAAAGGGTGATTTCCTTTTTGTGACTTGTTGCTTATGCCATTTTGAATGTTAATGCTTGTTGTGCTTTTCTCAAAATGTTTGTTTTCATTTCTAATATTTCTTTTGTCATTTTACAGTCATCCCAACTGCTCGCGATCGTATTGTGCAAATCTCCGGTCAAAACATTTACAACATCAACATTGCCAAAAACTTGATTGACACTACCATAAAGCAAAACGCATCGCCTATTCCATTCAATGAATTTGGCGATAACTATGAATCAAGCAACAACTATCAATCCTGTGATTTTTATCCCAATTCTAACCATTTTACCAAATGCAATAACGTCCAGTCAAGTTCTAGAAACTCACTTTCTGACAACGAGCCTGTGTGCCACAACATTAGAGTGCTTGTGAATGAAAAAGAAACCAACATCATCGTAACTGACAAAAATCTTGGCGAAAAATTGGAGTCATTTCTTCACAAGTACAACTTTTCGGACTTTATTATGTCAAGCAATAAAGAAGAGAAAGCCAAGTCTGCCAATCGTAACATCAGAACAGTTCCGGCTCCTGTTGTTCCCGAAGTGCCAGTAAGCGGCCGAATCGTTTATGAGCGAGACTTTCTGCTAAAGTGTAGATACAACAACAGTCCAACTCCTCGCGTCATTGAAGAGATAATGAAAAATCAAGCCCATTTGTACCGTTAAACAGCCCCAAACACAAAAACCCTTTTCACTGTTAGGGACTTTGTGTTTTTACTATTAATTATACTCTGAAAGAAACAAAAGTTAAACCACGTCAAAAGTTCACTGTTTTATTTCTGTATGAATAAAAGCCCACAATCTACGATAAGATAAAAAAATCAAAGTTTTTATTGTTTTTTGCCCGGTTTGAAGATGAGCTTGGGCACACTTGACGCTTCCATTCCGAATCACTTTGCCTGCTATAGGACAGGGCGGAAAAGTGGTATACCATGGCGACAGTCGGCGTAGGCCTTTCCATTACCTTTCCACAAACAAGAATGATCTCTCTAACCACTGCAGAGAGTTGTCGCCACCACTTGTTTCAGGCCAGTTGTTGGAGATGGACAATGCGAGGAGAGGTGGAAATCGTTTAAATGAGAAATCGCTCGTCCATAAGTGTCTTGTGGACTAGATTTTTTCTTGACATTTTAATGTAAGTCACCGTAAGGATCTGTTTGTAAAAGTAGAGTGAAAGTGAGATCTAAAAACGTAGGAAAACTAACCTTGGAGATAAAGAACGTTATGACGGCGGAAAGAATGTAGTTCCGATAAATAAGGTCCACCATGATAAATGTGAGCAGCTCAAAGGTGGCCAGCGTCAACTCGATTCCGTAAAGTAGTACACTCTCAAATGAATGGCCATTATCTAGATGAAAAGGGTTGTCAAATAGTTCATCATTCACTTCTTCATTCNCGTCAACTCGATTCCGTAAAGTAGTACACTCTCAAATGAATGGCCATTATCTAGATGAAAAAGGTTGTCAAATAGTTCATCATTCACTTCTTCATTTAACTGTACCATTGTAAAAGCGACCCTTCTGCTGACTTGAATCCTGCTCAAAGTTGAACAGTGACTCAAAGCCAGAGCGGTCTTGTACGATGTAGTCCGCTTTGACGAATGAGTGCTCGATGAAGGAGCACAGGAAGCGATTGATTGAGGTGTACGCCTGAACTAGCTTCGTTTTGTCCACATTGCGCAAGTCAGTGTTCAGTTGAGGGGGAAAGGGATTGCCTGGCGAGGAGCGGTCGATTGGTCGGCGCAAGCTGCTCCATTGATCATGGAGCACAGAGGGAAGGTACATTTCAAAAGTCTGCTGTTCGGTGTTGGGCGCCAATCCCCTTTTGGAGCATAGATCACTCTCCTCCATTTCCAGTAGGTTGTACATCTCCAGCATGTTCACGTCACTGCGTCCATTCGGTGAAAGGCCATGGAGGTAGTAGCCAAAGCGTTTGTACTTTAAACAAAAGACGCTGATCTGCAATGGTCAAAGAGAAGATGTGAAATTATTTGGTTATCAAGAGAGTGAAGAGAGCACTTACATTGCTAACTGAGCAAAGATCAATAAACTGGTTCAATTTCCCCCAGCCCAAGTTCTCCAGAATGAACTTTTTGTAGAGGTACTGAATGGAAGCGAGTAGGATGTAGAAGGTGGAAATGAGTGCCAGTCGAGCAGTGCTACTTTCAGGCACTTCCTCCAATGCCTCATCACTGCTGCTGCTCACGTCTGCGTAGGGCATCACACGGGAAAAGCTCTTCAGGTCAGTGCACTAGTAAATGACATTAATGAAGAAAAGTTAATAATCAAACCAGGAAAGCATCAGGTACCTCAAGCAGGAGAATGAGCAAGAAGATGTGCAAACAGGGGTCAATTCTTCGCTTGCCATTAAGCTCACTCCACTCGTTGGCGACAAAGCAACTGCGCCATATAGTGACGCTGCTCGATGCTTCAGAGCTGCTGCTGCTAAAGTTTGACACTCCACTTTGCGGCTTACGCGTGTTGGTCATTTCCATTGTCAGTTCAGTTCGCAGTTTGCTGTCAGAGCTAGACATTCTGCTCTTGTACTCCATCTTGCCGTTGCTCTCTAGGATCTCCTTGTTTCGGGGCTTCTCCCAGTCGAGAAAGAAGATGTCTATGGAGGTGGTGCAGATGATCTCGCGGAAGAGTTGAATCGTCTTGAGAATGTACGCCACCACGAGGTACACTACAATGAGGCCCTCTTGCTCAGGTGTGAAGAGCACCGTGTGAATGACAGACTGAAACTTGAACACCACTAGCTGGTTGATCACAAAGAACAGACTGACCAGGAGAAGGGTGTTAGAAACGGCGTTGATGACGGTGGCCAGGAAGGTGAAGACTGCCGAGGCATCGAGGCCACTGTCGGTTCGTTTCATCCAGCACCAGGTGCGAAAGATGGACCAGAAGACGGCAAAGGTGGTGAGGATGCTGATGGCCAAGTTGAGGTGATACTTGACTGTACTGTCGTTCATCTGAAAAACCACACTGAACTCCGTTTCGGTGGTGTGACTGTGTCGACTAGCCTCACCGGCGTCGATGGCCTCGTACTGCACCTTCACCACCGGAGGGTATATCTGCCCACGGGAGGAGTGCTGACTGAGGGTGATTTGGAATGTCACTGAGCGGGGGTACAGCACAAAACGAGAGACTCCCTGAGTGTTGAAGCGCTTCAAATCGACGCCTGAAAAAGGGCAATTTTTCTGTTA